TAAACATGACAGACAATCAATCAAACGAAAATTTATCAATATGTTCGCGCTATCGCAATTCGCTCTTCGAATCATAGCACAATCAACATTCATTTTCAATTCAGTAAGTTTAATTTTCTCGTCTTCTCTTCTCTGATTAGTGACAATATTCATTTTCATACATATTTTCCTCTTGCTAGATTTAGAGAGAGAGAGAAAAAGAGAAAGAGACATACAGAGTCGTGATTGGAGGAAGGATGGGAGGTGAAGAGGACGGAGAGAGTGGCGAGAAAGAGGAGGGTGAACATGGCGGAGACGAAGATCCGGTAAGAGAAGACGTGGTGGAGAGCGCCGCCGCGGCCGCCGCGGACTGCACCGGCCATAGCGAATTTGTACCTTATCTAACCATCGTCCACAGTAACTAACTTTTCTCTCACTTCAGGTAACGAGAACTGAAGATTTTTCGCATTGCGTTGTTGACAATGGAAGAAGAGTTTAGAGAGATAGTAGGTTTTGGAGAGTGGGGATCTGAAAATGCGAGATGTGAGAGAGAGATGAAAAGACTGAGTCACTGACTGTGATCCGTCGTCCCGCGTCGATGGTATTTAATCTTAAAATTGGTGCGGCGACCTATGAAGGAGGTGGCGTTGGTACTTTCAATTTTAAAAAGGTAAATGGTACTCAGAAAAGATTTAAAAAATGATTAATCACAACAATATCCCTCAACTAATATTGATTTATCATTTTTCTCCGTCCTAAAACATTACTTCTTTATTTTACTTTTTATTATTCACAAATATTAAAATTAAACGCTAAAATAATATAAATTGTTTATTTTATCTTTTTTTTTTAAATTCATACATAAAAAGTATAATTATAATAATTGATGTTCTCAAAAAAAGTTAAATGTTAGTTTTGAAAAGTTATTATTATTAAAATTTAATAATTTTACTATTAAAAAATGTTGAATTTTCCAAAATTGACTAATATTTTGTAAGAGATGGAGTATTATTTATAAATTCATATATTTTGACTCTTCATTTGTAGAAATATATCATTGTCTTACATTTGAGAAACAGAGTGGTTTGAGTATGACTTATTTAGTGACTTTTTTAATTTTTACAAATTACGTGCATGTGACAATGTATAACAAATAAGTCAATAAGCAACTTATTTAGGAGGTTGCCAAACGATCTCTGAGTCAATATGCACGAGTACATATATTAGAGTGTTAAATTAATATTTAGTAATAATTGAGTGAATCTTTGGGTAATTAACTTTTTTTAAAAGAATTTGACTATGGACACATGGTGTAGTTTGGTGCAACTTATTATAAGTTGTAATTTTTTTTTGAATAATCGAGTGTCCGAACCAGTTTACACGTATCTGGACTAATCCCGAGGCCCTAAAGTTAACGACCAGGCAAACCTTCAATGGCTCCAAAGTTTAGAATGTTTGACCTTCATGAGATTCGAACTTGCAACCTCTAGAGTGGTAAGCCCTTTGATTGCCTTCTTTTCCCACTAAGCCAAACCCTATTGGGATTTTGTAAGTTAGAAAATTGATAATCCAAAAGCAAAAATTAAAAGCACTTATCACCTAACTTTCAGAAATCAAGTTTTTTTAACTTATTTAATCTTTTTTTTTTGTGCATAATAAATTATAAGTAGAAGTTGTATCAAAAAATCTTAGTACAAACTTTCAAAAAAAATTATAAATAAATTCAGATAAGTTTCATCAAATATCCCTATCATATTTTACTAGGTACTAATAATTTGGTTAGAGTATAAAATAGAAGTGTAGTATGATGTTATGCAAGATAGTAGGATATAGATGGTTGGTGGTCAAAGCGAGAGGTAATGAACAGTGTCGTAGAGTTGTATAAGGTGGACAATAGTATTGTGGTTGTTCAAATAATAATAGAAATGTGGGTCATAGTAAAGTAACAATGGAATAAAATGATAAAGTCACAATGAAATAAAATGATCGATAATGACACTAAGAATAACGGGACACAGTGGTGGTTAGGGGTAAAGTAAAGACAACAATAGAGTGGAATGTGTAATAGACAATATTAATGGTGAGATGCCATGACAATATACATAGCTGTGAGTTGTGAAAGATGGCAAAATTCAAAAGGTGTCAATATAATTCAGGTAAAGAATACGGGGTCAACTTCAATTAGTGTAAAATGATTGAATCACAAAAAAAATATACAAATTTACAGTGGCAGTAGAACAAATAACAAACAATTAATTTTTAAAATGCGCAATCGCAGAACTAACATGAACACAGATATAGTATTACACAGCCTGTCTCTCTCTCTCTAGATACATTTGTGTATATTCACAATCGAACTTGCTGAAAAGTGAAGAATCATCCTACAGAGTCGGGCGCGAATTGATTTCACTTCCGAATTTCCAATTTCTAAAGGTACAAAAAAATGTTCAGATGATTTACGTGAAATAGATTCTCTGATGACTTTCTTTCTGTTTGGTTGCTGAGAATCCGGCGGAAAATTAAATGCAAAGAAGAAGAAAAATCAATCTACTCATTTTAAAATATGAAATATGTGGCTTTTTGACTTTTTTTTTTTGTTTTTGGTGTTTTCCAAACAGCCTCTAAAGTGGCTGAGACTTACTTTGCAGATAAGACCTTTTGTGGCGTGATTAAAGAAGGCATAACATGGTTTTAATAATTAAGTCTGCCAAAATAAACTATGTTTTTAGGCTTCATTTGGATGAGTTGATTTGAAATGAAGCGATTTGATTAAAATCGTAAGAAGGTTACTATTAGAGGTAGATTGATAATTTTAAATTGGAGGATTGAATATAGATTAGGAGATATGTATCCTTAGACAAGTAGAATCCTTCCGAGTTATTTTAACTCCACCAAGCAAAAGCTCTTCAATCCATTATTCAATTCTAGATCAAAAATATTAAATTCATAAATCCAAATGCAACTTGAATTTGCACTTACACTATGTTTGGGAACTGGGAGAGATTGGGAACCTGGGAGAGAAAAGTAAAGAAATGATTACTTAAGTTATAAAAGAAAAGAAAAGAAATGATTGTGATTTTTCTTCTTTTTGTTTGGATAAGGAAGAAATAAAAGAAAAGAAATGAATGTGATTTCTCTCATTCTTATTTGGTTAGATTTCATTAAGAGAAAAGAAAAGAATTTATTTTATGTTATATTACCAAAATAATCTTTTTATATTTTCAATCATTTCATTTCTTTTATTTTTATGGGGACAAAATTGGTATTATGAAAATAGTGGTTTCTTTTCTCTCTCAATCTCTCCACTTTTGGGAAGATCGAAAATGATGTTTATAAGAGAAATGAATTTCTCTCTATTTCTTCTCATTTTTCTCTACTTAGGTTATTCAAACAAGTAAGAGAAATACATATCTCTCCATTTCTTTTCTTTTCTCTCCAAATCACTCAATCCAAACATAGCGTTATTAAACATTTTGTGTTTCGGAATATGTATCTTTTGTGGTTAGCTATATATTTGATAGAAAACTCAAATATAACTGTCAATGCACAAGACATTACATTTTGTTAGCTTGTTCATATGCATATTTTAGTCAGAAGGAAATTTTTGAGGTGTTATAAGGACGTCTCTGTTGACAAGTCTAAAGAAGCTGTTAGCTATTAGGCATCCTTGTACATTTTACTTCTTTAGCGGATAGGCAAGCAGGGATGAAAGCTCTTACATTATCCAGTGTGATTAGATTCTTGCTTGCCTTCTCATCATTAATTGGAAATTTCCTTTCTTGTATTTCTTATATGGAACTCTCAATGAATTTACTTTAGAATCACTTTTCCTCATGGTCCCCTGATCTCAAAAATACCGGAGCATATGTTGCCACAATTGAACTCGATAGGAGTATTATTTATATAGAAATTTCAAATACTGTGCATACTACAATTGCTTCTGATTATTAGAACACAGTTTGATTTACTGTTCTATTCTGCATTGGTATGAGACTTTTGACATGGGTACAAACTACAAAGTTTGAGGTTTTATCCCTCACTGAGAAATTAATAGTTCATGGCATGTTAGTATATTGGAATAACAAACTACATGATACTATGATACTATATATAGACATATTACATATTAAGCCAAACACCTTATAAGCTTAAAGATGTCAGAAACACTACTTCAGATACACATAGTCCATATTTTATGAAAAATATTGTGAAAAGCAAAAATATGTATGGCAAGTGATGGTGCTAAAATGTATTGAATTGCCATAATAGGCAAAAACATCCCTTTTGTTTGTGTTTGCAAAGATAACATAAATAGTGCACATCACTTAAAACATGGAGTGTCTACAATCAATTTTTACAACATAGTGAAGGAAAAAGTTTTGAACGAAAAATAAATAAATAAATGTTGAAGGAAATGACAAAGGGTAATGCTCCTGAATTCCATGGGCCATAGAGAGATGCTGGGAGTTTTTGTTAACTTAGCTAGTAATTTTTGTTAGACACATCTTCCTTCCTACCTCAGTAGAGCGAGTAATTGCCAACTGTCTTTTTTAGACCAATTAAAAATCTATTAATGTCATACTTCTGAAATAAAAATTATTCCATGGCCCTGGGGTGGTGAAAAATTGTTTGAACCAAAAAATAATTCCATGCCCCGTTTGGCAATGCCACAAAACAATCCTAGCCCTTTTAAGTGAAGCTCTCACAACAAGCTAGGAGCAGTACTCGGGACTATAGAGGATAAATTTTTGGGGTACTTTGCATTTCAGTGGGAACAACTCAAAATCATTGCCATTTTCATCGAGATGCAAATGGGTGCAAGTGAGTGTTGCACCCCATACCACAACTTTCCCTTGCACCAGATACCGACCCTCTTGCACTTCCATGAAAGTTGCAATTTTTTTGATTGTTCTCACTACTACAACGCAATTTCCCTAAATTTTCCACATGTTTGTTCTTATTATGGCAGTTTTTGAATAATGAACCTACATGTCCACCCCACCACCCATTGCTCCTGAATTCCATGGGCCATAGAGAGATGCTGGGAGTTTTTGTTAACTTAGCTAGTAATTTTTATTAGACACATCTTCCTTCCAACCTCAGTAGAGCGAGTAATTGCCAACTGTCTTTTTTAGACCAATTAAAAATCTATTAATGTCATACTTTTGAAACAAAAATTATTCCATGGCCCTGGGGTGGTGAAAAATTGTTTGAACCAAAAAATAATTCCATGCCACGTTTGGTAATGCCACAAAACAATCCTAGCCCTTTTAAGTGAAGCTCTCACAACAAGCTAGGAGTAGTACTTGGGACTATAGAGGATAAATTTTTGGGTACTTTGCATTTTAATGGGAACAACTCAAAATCATTGCCATTTTCACCGAGATGCAAATGGGTGCAAGTGAGTGTTGCACCCCATACCACAACTTTCCCTTGCACCAGATACCGACCCTCTCGCACTTCCATGAAAGTTGCAATTTTTTTGGATTGTTCTCACTACTGCAACGCAATTTCCCTAAATTTTCCACATGTTTGTTCTTATTATGGCAGTTTTTGAATAATGAACCTACATGTCCACCCCACCACCCATTGCTCCTGTAACCCTGTTCAACTCTCACTTCAACAAAGCCATGTATATCTCACCATTTTGATACACTGACAAAATTAGTATTTTCCATCTATAAGAATAACTGGTAGAATTTTTTTTTAGTCAACTTTCTTTGTTTTAAATTCTCTCTTTTTATTCTTTTTCTTTTTCTTTTTTTTTAATATGCTTTATTAAGGAATTATCAGTCACAGTTCGTGGGTTTTTCAATAGAGTTGATGAGGAAAGGATCATGGTGGAATCTGGTCAGACAGGTCAGTTTCAACACCTTCCTCTCTCATGTTGCTATGAATACATGCAATTGTTTATGTGGTTGATGGAGGACTCTTATTTATAGAACCTAAAACACCTGTAACTTTCAGATTTAAATATGTGACGTCATAATAAAGCTAGGATAAGAATGAAATGAGCAAAGATGTTATTCCATTTTTCTTCACTCAATCTATTGCATATTAGAACAATAGAAATTATGGATGGACTTAGAAAAGGGATAATGGAGAAATAAAATCACGGTCTTCATCTCAAGGAAGAAGACCTGCAGAACTCGTAGGATCAGGACTATTGATATTCATGTCGGCGATCATCTGACGAAGTTCTGAAGCTGCTTCTTTGAGCTGAGCATTCTCTTTAAGGGCCTTGTCTCGGGATTCCGAAACATGGTTTAACTTATCCATGAGTTGGTGATTCTCATTTCGGAGCCAAACAACCTGTGACCAGAGCTCATCCAGGTGCTTCTGCTTGCGCATACGCGATCGACGTGCTGACTCTCTATTAGATATCATTCTCCTCTGCTTCCTCTCATTGATGAGACTTATTTGTTGTTCATCTGCTTCATCTGAAGTTGAGTTACTGCTGAAACATGTCGACCGTAGGTTAAATTCTTGAACTTGAGGATTGATCTGAAGATGATATAAAGGATTAGAGGATCTGCTAAGCTGAAATGCAGGTGTGTTGTTCTGGGTCAAACTAAAATGAGACGGATATGGATTTGGATGTGAAGGAACTAGATAATGAAGTTCTGAAACATCAATGGATTGCATGGCTTTAAACTTTTTTGAGTGAATTTGGAATTGGGCTTTCAGGTGGGGGATCAGGTGGAAGAAATTGGTGTTTTTGAGGTGGAGGAAAGCTTGAGGAGAGGAGGTTTTTATAAGATGGGAAAAGGGTAAAATGGACCATTTCTCACAATTTAGTGTAGATGGAGTTTCTTAAAGATGAGACAATTGGAATATGGTGCAGAAACTGTGCCTAGACTAAGTAGCTTCACATCCATGTATGCATGAAATGTTGCCATACACAAGTCTATATGTGTCTATAGGGGTGTTATTCATTATGGTCAATCAATGGTTCCATATGTTCATGCATGCAATGTGAACATTATCTGTTATCCATGCAGGAGCATACATACATAGGAATGTGAGTTGCCTAGTGGATAATTATTGCTTACATAAGAGAGAAGAATAGTTTATAGGGTGGGGGAGTGTAATAATTTAGAAGAAGGAATGTTTTAGAAGAAAGAAAGAAAATGAATGAAATGGAGGGTTCAATAAGTCAATCTTAAGGTTGGTGCTAATGTCAAGCATAGCCAATCTAATCTCTTTTTTACCCTTAAAAATGTTCTTAGCCAACGGCATTTGGTGACGTATTCAGCTAGGAAGTAAGAAGGTTTTGGGGAAGGAAATCTCTTTTCTATAAGTGGGAAAGATTATATTAGGAATTGATGACTCAACAACCACTTTAATGAGTCCCATCACAAAATAAAATACAATCTACTTGCTTCTCAATATTTTGATTATTAGGAATCACAGTCCCTTCTTGTGGCAGATTTAGGTACCAATCAGTGTACCACGTCGTAGCAGAGAGGGGTGTTTTAGTCATTAAAAGAGTGACTCAGTGCATGAGACTCTTGTCAAAACAGGGTTTGTACTTTGTAGTGGACAAAATGTACACAGCCTCGCCCCATTTCCAGAGTGGCTGTCTTAGTCATCAATTTTTCTGCAAAATTATTTGGAAGAATGACAACATCACCTTCCACTTTGATGTGATATTTTACCAGATAGTGTTTCCACTTTATTAAGATGATGTTAAATTTCACATAATATAATAAATGAAACTTTTCCTCACGGTTTTCGATTGGATTGCAACGCACCCTATTTGAACTAAATGTAATGGATCAGAGCCATCAGCAAAAGGATGGGGAAAAATGAAACCTGCATAATGTAATAAAGTCCTAAACTCCGCTGTTAATCTATGCTAGGGCATGGACTTACATCAAAATGTAAGAAAGTTAGTCAAAATCTACTGATTAACATTGAATTGAATTAGATAGTGCACCACATGGATGGCTAGGCATTTGTGATCTAAAATGTTTAGTGTCTCATTGAAACTTCTCCAGGATTTTATTTCAATGGTTGTTCATTTCTTTCTTTTTTTAAAACATCATGAACAAGCGTAATAGATTATTCCCCTACCCCATTTATTAGGTCTTATTTAAAATCCTTAGCCATAGTGTTCCATTAAATTTCTATCACACCGTGTTTTTTTACTACACTCTAAAGACATGCTTGAGCCAGAATAAGTGGGAGGTTGAAAAATTCAACTTGATTCAGTCAGTTGGGAAGATTAGATTTTTATCCTAACCACACAATTCACTGAGTGTGAGGCAATGGAAAAAAAAAATCTTGTTATGTGCTTTAGTGTGGTGGGAATGAGGAGGGAGCTGATATGAATGTAATTTGAAATGCACTCTCTTCCACTAATGAAAAAAAAAAAGAAAAGAACTTTGTATTGCATCCATAACCATAATCCTGTGGAGGCAAATTGCCCTCTCCCAACTCCCATCTTGAGTGGACTAAATGGTCAACAATATCATAAGACAGATGTAGACCTTTCTTTCATTTCTTGTCTTCAAATTGTTCTGTTTTACTGTGTTTTCCTTTTTCCTTTCTCCTTTTCCAATAAAGTATTTTTCCACGCGAGGATTGATAGCTGTGTTATGTAACGAAGATCGTTTCAGACTGCCACATCCTTTAAAATGCCGTACGAGAAAGGTAAACTTCTTTATAACTATTAGAATTTAAGGTGTACTTCTAGAGCAATTTTCTTTTAACAATTAGAGATCCAATAAAATATTACTTTTCCTTTTCAAATCACTCAAGTTACAGCACATTTCTGTGAACATAACCAAAACTCTGTTCTCCTTAGCTTTTAATTTATTATATTTGATTTGTGCTTCCTTCAAAGGTAACTATTGAGGTTTATGTGGGAAAATAGTCTTGGGATCGCTTTAGATAGTTAAATTCACCATTTCTATCATGTTTCAGAACACGCGTTCCAAAATGTAAATCACTATAAAGGTGTGGTTGAATATATATTCTAGCATGTATCCTTTTCTAGTATACTTGTGTGGATACATTGCTTTTAGATCACTGATGTCACACCAAAATAACACTGTAAGCTGAAATTTGACCCCAGAGATGACCCCATCCAAGAATTTTAGATTATTTCCTTTACTAACTTCATATTTACCATGTATGTGTCAGTATTTAATTCATACTTCTACTTTTTTCGCTTGTATTCTTTCTTATTTTGCGTACTCAACATAAAATTCATTCTGATTTACCACATCTATACTATTTTATAAAGTACACAACTCAGAACTTGAAATTTTGTCATGTTATTTTTATTTATTTATTTATTTTCTAAGAATGCCCATAAATTTGTTGACTGCTAAAACTCTAGTAACTAACTCCTAAACAGATTTCAAATTTAACCTATTTTTCTCTATGCAAATGCATCGCGTTTGCACCTCCTGCTAGTTACAACAAATGATGGAAATGGCTAACTAGCGGTCTGATTTTAATTGGTTGCTGGAAGGGCATGATGAAGGGAATTTGGTGTTTTATTTTTCATCTAGGAAGGATTTTCCAGGCTTGGATTTAACCATGGCTGTTGATCTGTACTCATTTCTTAACTCTATTGCATGGTAGTGACAATCTATGCTTTCTTTCTTGTGGATAAGGAAAAGAGTGAACACTACTGTTTTTGAAATCTATAAGAACTAGGCTAGATTTAGTATATTAGTAACTGCATGATGCTATGCTACCTCACCATGGGAGGGTTAGGTTATGTTTGGATGTTGAATTTGTGGAGCAACAAGGAAAAACTTAACTCACATGAACAGCTCAAAAGTTAAGGGTATAAATTTTGGAGCAAGCTGCAAATTCAGGTCTTCGATTTGACTCTCATTGGTGTCTATCAAGCTTAATTGATATATGCGATTTGTTAGTGAAGCAAGCCATAAACTCAGATGTCTTCAATTCGGCTACCATTGGTGTCTATCAAGTTTAACCGATATATGTGATTTGTGAGTGATTGCACTCCAAGGGTGGAAAACATGTTGAGTGTAATGGTAAAACATGATCCCATGCAGTGTCCTCCTACTAACCCAACAATGTTATGATCTCTACCACAAATCAAGATTACTCATTGGATGGTGATATTGTCATGTGATCTCTGTGAGAATATAGAATATATTATCCTGTGTTTATTATTCTGTGTTTTACAAATTAGAGTCCTATTAGAGGCATGATTGTGTTAGAATCCTGTTAGAGACATAATTATAATTGTATTTGTATTTTCCTTTTTGGTTTAGGATTTAGGGTTATATAATCTAAGGTCTGATTGTAATCTTGAATACAATTGAATATACAGAAAAGTTTTCAGGATTCTTACATGGTATCAGAGCTAGGTTTTAAGCCTAACCTTAGACGTTGATATTGTAAGTGTCAAGTGACTGCCACAGTGTCCCACGGCTGCTGGATTGCTTCTGGGTGTGTTTGGAACTAGCCTCAGGTTGCAGATATTCCCATTCGAGTTGTTCAGCAAACTCGTCTGGTACTGCCCTCTCTTCTTCGCGATCGTCTAGCTGTTCCTTCCACTTCGTGACTCCATTGATGCTCTCTCTCTCTCTCTTCGTGGTTTCATTGTGGACTGGTTTGGTGGGCTTGATTGCTGTTTTTGTTGCAACAGAAGCTCAATTCCTTAGTTCTGTTGCTGTTCTAGTTTGGTTTGCTGGTTTAGTTGTCTTCCCTACTTTGCTGGAGATAGTTTTGATTGCTTCGTTTAGAGTTTGTTGCCCTACTATTGTCTCTCTGTTCTGCTGCTGCTACTCTCTCTATTCTGGTTCTTTCTTTCGTCTTCATATTTGTGGGTCAGGGTAAAAAAAAAAAAAGTGGTTTTTATCTTTTACATTCAGATCTAAGACTCTTCTAATTATTACACTATGATTTTGGATTTATTGGTCTTACCCCTATCAGATTTCTGTACATTACCCTTCGACCCTGTTTTGGCTATTTTGTTGAATATAGGGTTTATTACACTTTAACCCCTCTTTTTTCTAGTTATTACGATGTCTCTGGCTTTTGATGAGTGTGCCTTCTGTCATCAGAAAGGCCATTGGAAGTACCACTGTCCCAAGAAGGGACGTCAGCCTACCTCATTTTTTCAGCAATCTCAGAACCACTTCCGGGCTTCTCCCACTGCGTATGTTGCATCTACTCCGACTCTTGATCTTGACTTGGCTTCCTTGACTGCTCAGATTAGTCAACTTCAGCATATATTGTCTATCTCCCAGCCATCTCCATCTACTTCCGTTGTTTCATCTCTTCCTTCAGGTTTGCTTGGGTCTTCTTCAGGTATCTCTTCGTCTGTCTGGCTTTTTGACTCTGGTGCCTCTCATCATATGACTCCCCATCTCTGTTACACAAACTCGGGTACGGGTATCGGGTGCATATCTAGGGGTTAGACACCTTAAAACTGAAAATGAAAGATACAGGGATATGGATCCAAATTTGGATACAGGTACAGGGATACGATAAATAGTTATTTTTTGTTTTTTTTTTATTAAATTATCATGTTAAAAACTTATCTAAATAATTTTTTAAATAATATTTAATTAATTAAATACAACATAAAAGTATTTTTAAATAATATTTAGGGGTTGTTTGGGGTGTCCTAAATAAGTGTACTTTTTGTCTTTTTGGACTAAAAAATTATAGTGTAGATGGAGTTTCTTAAAGATGAGACATTGGAATATGGTGCAGAAACTGTGCCTAGACTAAGTAGCTTCACATCCATGTATGCATGAAATGTTGCCATACACAAAGTCTT